TGTTCGGCCATTTGTAACATCGGGCTGTTTTCCTAAGGTGGATGGGGTAGTCTGCAGACATGGGGGCTGTGGTTCAGCAGCGTGGGGGGCTCCTGCTGCAGTACTGGCTTTAAACCCAACCTCTTGTTTCTGACTTTGTCTGGCAGGGCAGTTTTTGCTCAGTTTTGCTGACACTGTTATTTGTGGAGCCGTGCTGTAAACCAGCATACCAGTCCAGGTTAAAATAACTCTTTCAAAACAACTGTGATCTGAGTCCACAAACAGTTTTGTCAGCATAACTGAGGGCTAGCATGCTTTGTCCCAGGCCTAGGCACAAGAACGAGGGCAGAAAGTGTAACTGCAGTTTATTGAGGATGAAAATACCACGCACATACGTAGAAACAAAATCAGAAAGGCAGGCAAAAGGTATACCTAACTGAAATTGGGCACTGCAGAAGTTACTTCTGCATTTTCAAATATCCTAGTAGCAAGAAGTATCAAGGAGTTTTTTTCTGCATACAGTGGAAAACAAAAACTCTCAACAGCTTGAAAAAAATTTTTTTTTTTTCTCTGGCAGCACTCTATTCTCATCAGGGGCTCACCCAAAGTTTTGCTAGCAAAGCTAGTGAAGCTGGTCACGCAGTTAGACAGATCAAGGATTTGAACTGAGTTAACTAATATCTCTTTTGGCGGAGGGACGAGTGCCATGGGGAGGTGCTGGAGTAACTTTATGGTGACAGTTCCCTAGTAGAGCTCCCTGTGTGGCATGAGTACAATTGGACCATCAATGGCGAGGAAGAAACAAGCGGGACATGGGGGAGGGGGAAGAAGAGGTCATTACTTAAGCTGGACCTACCATCAGACTAAACATTTGTTGAACTGCCTCCCTAGGAAGTCAGGATTTTAAATGTCTTTTTGCAGTTCTTGGGTTTAGTAAGGTGCTTGACACAGGCTTGCCTGACATTTTTGTAGGCAAGCTGGGACAACTTGAAGCTGCCTGTGCAACTGGTGAGAGAACAATATTGGGATAAAGGCTTGGTGTCAGACTGGGAGGATGTGCTGAGCAGGGTTTTTGAGTGGGGAGGGAGGAGGTCCATGTCTGATACTATTTGGTATTTTCAGTAATTTGATGTAAACAAGGGAATAGTGTGCATATTTATAAGCTTGCAGGTTAGTTGGCTGGGAGGAGGACAGGACTGGGACTCAGAACGTTTGGAGAAGCTGAGAAATATGGGACAAAACCAAAGAAAAATGCAGAGTTTCTACATTTTGGTACGTCTAGTCAGTGGCATGAATTGAGGATGGCGGCTAGATAGCAGTTCTGCAGAAGAGGATTGGAGACCTTTCATGGTTTGTGAGCCAAGCACAAGTGAACATGTTATGCATTTTATGTACACAAAAAAGGCAAACCAGCTGGGACGTATAACTAAGAAGTGTTATTTAATAATAATTTAGCTCTATAAAAGCTGATAAAGCCTAGGCTGGAATATGTATCCAATTTTGGACACTATACTTCAAGAACAATGCAGATCAAATGGAAGGAGTCCAAAAAGAGAGTAAACAAGCAAAGGTCTGGGAAATGTTATCTATAAGGGAAGGTTGAAACAACTGGCTTTGGTCATTTTATATAGCAGAAGACTGTAGGAAGACCAAAGTTTTCAAATATATAGGGATAGATGCAAAGAGGAAGATAATAAATTGTTCTCTGTAATGATTGCAGGTAAGGCAAGGAATAATGAGTATAAATTGTAGGAAGGGAAATGTAAGTTAGACATTCAGAAAGGTTTTTAAATAGCAAGGACATCTATGCACTGGGATAATTTCTCTGCAATCATATTGCATTTTTTCATGAGAGATCTTCAAGAACAGGTTAGACAAACTACAGTAAGGAATAGTTTAGTGTATTTTATCCAGCCTGAGCAGTCAGAAAGGATTAGGTGGTTGGAGTTTCTTCATCCTTATTTTCTGCGGTTATATCTGCTGCTTCAGGTACCAAGGGCTGTCGACGTGAATCCTGTGTCAGTGATAGAAGTGCTGGCCCATGCCTACATGGTTACCACTGCTTCTACTCCGCCAGCGAAGCCGCTCATTTGTGTACACCATCAGAATAAGCCTGAATAGCTGATATGGCTGAGAACAGTAGAGCTTTGTCAATATGGGTAATTTTGAGTGGAATGGATAAAGCAGCACTCGGGTGAGCAAGCCAGCAGGGTACAGAGGGCAGGAATAGTTTCGCAGGGGTCAGTGCCAAGTGGCCAGGAAGGGCAGTGGTGGGAACTGGAAGAGGGGCATGTCTGCATTATGGGTCTCCTGTAGAGCTTATCCAGCGCCTTACTGCTTCAGAGTTCTTCATAGGATTTTTCTTTTTTTCCATTTGCTATAGTAAAGTTAACAGAGTTGCTCCACAGCTCTGGGCTATGTAGTCATTTCAAAGCCAGAAAAATGTGCAAGGCTTAGTTAACTTCAAATAGAGTATGATTTTACAATAGACACCCTCTTCTGACACGTCAGCCCCATCCTAGATTGCTGAGGGAAGCAGTGAAGGATTGGTGCCCTCTTGACATTTTCAGAGGTCGAATATGAAATCCTCTGTCATGTTGCCAGCCCAGAGAGTTACAACCCAGTGCTCGTTTCCAGAGGACTAGTCATGAGAGACTGAAATTGTTCTTTACAAGATTCTTCCCGTAGCAGTTTTGCATTACTTACTATTTAATGTGTATGTGATTTGGGGGAGGGTTTTTCTTTTTTTTTACTTGGGGATTTTTTTCTTCTCGCTTTGTTCTTCTGTATGCAAGAGTTTTCTTGGACTACCTGTGAAATCAGCTGAAATCCTGCGGTTGACTTTCCTGACCATTTGCTATGGTCAGGGAAATGTCACTTAAAGTTCATGTGCTGCCTCTTACTGATGGCAGAGGTAGGCAGGAAGGGGAGAGTAAAGAATTACTGCCATGCCTGCACATTCCGGTGGAGAGAGCTTTTGAAGACTCAAGATGAGGCCTGCTTCGCTTGTCTCCAGGGTAGATTTTTATACCGATTTATATATTGCATGGTATCTTTGCCCAAGTGTACCTGAACTTTTATTTCACTTTTCTGTGATATGCATACAATGAAAGAAATGCATTTTTAAGTTCAAGCACGTGCATATTCACAAACAGTTCATGCGGCTTGAAAAGAGTATTTCCCAATATTATTTGTTGCTTGCTCTTCATTGAAGTGTGGTGGTCAGACTGCCCAGGAGTTGATGTGTCAGCTAGCCAGTGAAGTTTTTTGTATTATTTTTGCAGTTATTGCAAAACCATATCTCTACCCTTACTTTGGTTTATCCCAAAGTACAATCAGTGCACTCCCATTTCACAGCTTGCATAACTTTCTCTGGTGATTTCTCTCCATAACCAGATTGTATGAAACTATCTTTAATCTGAACGGGAACTGTTTGCCCATTCATTGTAAGGGTCTGTATACTCATTTGCTATGGTTAGTTCTCAGTTATTGTTAATTTATTCTACAAATTAGTCTTCATTCAGTTCTGTAGTCTGAATCCCATCTATGATGCCCAGGATTCCTGGCATATGGACTAAATTCTACTTTTTACCCCATTGGTGTGAACCTAGAGGGGCTCTGTCTATATTTTGCAGAACATGTGTCTGTCTTAATACTGCGTCTTTGGCTACTCCATTTTATTCTGTAGGAAAGAGTTGAGAAGTCTACACATGCATTAGAAGTAGTTTCTTGCATTGCATTTACTCAGGGACTTTTATTTTTTAATAGCCCTTTGAGATTTCATTATGAAATTACATTTGAGAAATATTTAATCATTGGTCTTAAGTGAAAGAGTAAACTATATTTCATAAGACCTAGAAGTAATACTTTGGAGTTAACTGTACAAGTTTAGATTTCTGTCTTCAAAAGACTTGCAACTTACCTTTAAAGCTGAAGTTTTTAAACTTTGCTGTTTAGCTTGATGGTGATTTAGAAACTTCACCGGGCAGTTTTAAATATGAGTATTTCAGAAATATGAAAATAAATTACTATGTTCCATTCAGCTCATTCTGAATACAAGCCACAATGTGATTGTTTTAAAAAACAAGCTGCTTGCAGATTTGGGAAAACCGTGAGGAGCTAGTGACACTTACCGTTGCTGAGTTAGAACTAATGTCACCCTCTTTCTCCGGTTTTACTGTGGGACGTGAGCTTTGTGTGCTCCAGAGGAGCCAGGCGGAGTGAGAGATTCCTCCAGGGTTAGTACGGTCCTGGACAGCAGAGGATCAATTTCCTAAAACATGATCCATTTTGGCTCTGGTTTTATACTGGGCCCGAGGGGGCGAGGAGGTCTGTTATATGGAGAGCTGCTGTTAATTCCTCAAGTCTTGGTTTTCTGTCAATAGACAGATGTACTTTCCTGTCCAAGTGTTCCTGTTTTCATGATAGTTTCTCACACATGGAGCAATATATATGTCCTGTGGACCTGCAGAATTTGTAACCAGCCCTTGTATGTACACTAAACACAGGTGCAGATTAAGGAAAAACTTGCAGTTTCCTTTGACATTAAAAGGTAGTAAAGAGGATTTACAGTTCATTAGGATCCTCCCCCATCCTCCCAACCATTTCATGTACCTCTTCAATGTCTCAGTGCCATTCCCTTACTTAAGGGTCCTGGGTGTTTTACTCCATGTTGTAAAAGGCATTTGTTGGGGGGCTGTTTTTGACTCATGTTCTTGGACCCAACTTTGTGAACAGTGTCCAACTGTTCACAACTAGTTAGTTCAACTAGAAGTGTAGCACATGTTACCTTCTTTAGTAGCCCACAAAAAGTCCAGGTCAGCTCCTGTAGCTCTTGTGCTGTCAAATGGAGTATGTCAATTCACATCACTTTATACCAGCTGGAGATCTGGTCCAGTGTGTTGAAAGATGCAGGAGGCAGTTGCTGCGGTGTATTTGTTAACTTAGTTGGCCTGAAGGGACGTGCAGTGAGAGAACTTCCATCATTCTAATTCATTCTCTAAATGTTTTTCTCTCAACAGCTCTGAAAAGTCCAGCTGCATTTCATGAACAAAGAAGGAGTTTGGAGCGGGCCAGGGTAAGATGCAATATGCTTTTTAAAGTTTTGGGGAAGTCAGGAGTAGTATGTCTTATGTTTTGGACATCCTGTAGCTGTTAATGAGATGCAGAAGGAAATTGTTCATATTCTGGATGTAATACAGCACTATGCAAAGATGTATTGGATGGGGTGTTCTTTACCTTGTATGTGGTGGTGGTTAACCCTCAGTGAACTATATGGTGCCTGGATTTCCCCTGGAGTCTTCTTTTGGAAGTGACTGATACTCTTCTTCCTCACTGTCCATATACTTTACGTTTTTATTTTTATGGTGTCTGTTTTGCCCTTAAATGCTCCTATCGTGTGGAGCTCAGTTCCACCTTTGAGGAAAGTGTATGGTTTCTGTTACCTGCACGTGCACTTGTTTATCTAGGATATTAGAAACTGAAAATTTAATGGAGAGGATCCCCCCCCAAAATCTTGTAACACTGAAATCACACAGACTTCTGGCTCTATAGAAAGAGGAAGCCAGGCATCACACTTCATGTGGCACCTTTGCTAACTGGGGGGTTTCTTGATGATTTCTGTTCCTCCAAAGGCCTCTGGGGATATTTTTTTTCTGATTAGCCTACAGGGGAATAAAACCTGTTATGACTGCTGGGCTAAGTTTTGTTTTAAAAGTGAAAGCAACATAAGTAAAAAAATAACAGCTGTGATTAAAACCTGTAAGGGGGTGTTAGCACTTTAAGCTCTGTGGAAGGATTGGAACAGTGGGCTTTGCATTAAGACCAGTGTCCCAAAGGCTTTTGCTTCTTCCTCTTTTTTTTTTCCTAAAACCTTCTTATTAAGTTAATATTTTGGTGTGGGCAATTGAGCAAGTATGGTGCAGTTTTCTGATTGACTTCAATAGTTTTTTGTTCTGAAGGCCCGTTCTGATGGCCAGTACTTACCAGTCTGTTACCCACTGCTCCCGGGTTCCCATCTGGCTGTGTAAAGGGTAACGTGCTCAGCCCGGACAGGGTCATCTCTGTACATTGCTCTGTAGTGCATTCTCCAAAGACAGAGCTAAAAGCAGTTCTGGAAATTAAATTAGTCTTGTCATAGCATTTAGATTCTGCCTGCCAAGGGAGTGCATGGGGTCTTTAGCTTAACAAATAACATATCTTTAAACAAATAAAAGAGTATGCCCAAACCACAAGTCAGCCCTGAATGCCAGCAGTATATGAAAGTATTTGCTGTGAACAATGGAACTAGTGCATCTATCTTTAATGTAAAAAGAAATGTCTTGAATTTCACTCTGATACAAGTTAGTGGTGTTGCATAAAAGGAGAAAAGAGGGCTTCAGCTCTTGAGGAAGTCCTTTCCAGTTTCTGTTCTGTGGGGCAGCAGTGTACTCTTATACTGAGGCGATGTACAGTAGAAGGTCATCTTTAGAATAAACTCATTCTCTGGGTGCTCTGAGACAGAAGATATGCCCCTTCTCTGTTCTGTGTTTATTTAGACCTCAGTAACAACTAAAGATGGTTGTTTCTTTTGTTTGTGCTGTCCAAGATTACCTCACTCCTGTATCTGATCAACTGAAATTGGTTCTTGCTTGTCTATTTTTGCTGCAGACAGAGGACTATCTGAAACGGAAAATCAGGTCCCGGCCAGAGAGATCAGAGCTGGTTAGGATGCACATTCTGGAAGGTATGGCACGTGCTAAACAGGAAAACATCAACAATAAACTGCATCATAATTACTTATTTAACAGCTTTCTATTTTGCCTCTGACCCCCAAATCTTTCTTTCAGTTGGGAGCGGGCAGAAAATCATGCCTGTTGCATGATTCCTTGGGAGGGATTCAACTCTGCTTGCATGGAGATTCTCAGAAGAATGTGTTATGTGAACTCAAAATTGTGCAGTTTTGTGTAGCTAGGCAACAATGAAATGGGATGACTGTGGATTGCTCTTCTACTAAGGGAATACACTGTAAAATATCCAAGAGGAAGTGAGGCAGATTTGATCTAATTAGTAAGCACCTCAGTTTCAGAGAGGTAGTACTATGCTACTGCTGAGTACCACATCTTTGGACACAACTGAAAGGGAAAAGATGAACGAGAATTGGGTGACATCAGTTTGAGAACAGTGAATTTGTCCTATTCTGGAATCACAAGGGTAGTAGTTATTTTTATAACTTAAATATATATAATACTGATAATATCTTTATAGTGCGTAGCTATCTATTGTTATGTGCAATTATTTTTCTGTACAGTTATCTACTGTTATCTACAGTTACCTTTCTGAATAGAAGTAAAATACTGCTGAAGTGCATAGGTGGGCCATTGCTGGATTGATGCCATTTTATTTACTTTCCCCTGAACAGAGACCTCAGCTGAACCCTCCTTGCAGGCTAAGCAGCTGAAGCTAAAGAGAGCCAGGCTGGCAGACGACCTCAATGAGAAGATAGCGCAGAGGCCAGGTCCCATGGAGCTGGTGGAGAAGAACATCTTACCTGTGGAATCAAGCCTGAAGGAAGCCATTATAGGTAAGGCCAGAGGAGGATCTGTGTTGAGGGCATTTCCCATAGGTGGCTGTGATTTCCTGTCAGTTCACCTGCCTGTGTCTAAGGGAGTGCAATCCCATGGTTGGTCTTGTTTTCCTGTCTCAGAATCACAGCCTTTCAGCCCCACGGATTCTGAAAAGCAGAACTCCCCCTGACCCAGATAGTGCTACAGATACATTAAATTATAGGGAGTATGGACATCCCAGAATAATGTGAAAGCAATTGCATACCCTGGAGACTTGAAAGACTGTTGAAGATTGCATTCTCTAGATTCTCTCCTTAAAAATCCCTCTCTCGGTATAACATGTCAGCAGCCTTGGTCAGGGAGAACCCACTGACTTGGATCAGGGAGAGGAGACAGAATATAAACAGGTGTGATGAAACAAAAGCTGTCTGTGAACTTAAAAACTTCAGAGGATTCAACCCCTTTAAAAATAAACCAGAACAGATGTAAATCATGCCAGTGCCATTCCAAGGGCTGAAAGGAATGCTGAGGAATAGCCTTCCCACTGTCTCAGCAGTGCTCTTTCCCATCTCCCCAGACTGAGCAGTCTGTGTGCGTCTGTGGTTATTCATCCCTTCAAACACGCACAGCTACTTTAAAGACAAATGGGACACAACTGTGAGCAAGATGGAATACTTTTAATGAAAAAGGAAAAGGACAGTGTTGTGGGAGAGCCTGCCTTCACTGTTGCACAACAAGTGGTTGAGGAAGAGAAAAAGTGAACTTGTGAACTGGATGTGGCTTCCTTCCGACTTTGACATCTCTCTGGATTTCTGTTGCTTTTACGTTAGGTGCAAATGATAGTATTTTCCTGCTTACCAGGATTAATTTGAGATAATGTAATCTAAAAAACATTAGTGCATTACAAATGTACACTCAAGTGAATTTATCTACTGGACATGTAGATGACAGAAATGCTAATAGCAGTCAGGGCCACCACTTAATCCATAGCCCTTGCTGCTTATAAGACTAGAGGACAATTTTGGATTCTCTTTTGAAGAGGGATTCTACCTTCCACCACATAGGATGAACACCAAAGAAACTATGACTCAACCTTACACTGTCTAACCTTCTTCTTTCTTGGTGCCAAATGATAATCAAATAAGCCATTGCACAGATCTGGGTTTGTGCAGAGTTAAGTACCTCTTGTTATACTTCCTGATCTTTTCTGGCTAAGAAGCAAAGGAAATGGTTCACCCCAATCTGCATCGTTTTACTGATAGCAGAGATGAATGTAGACACTTAAAACTGATCCAGTTTGGGCTCTGTTCTCTCATTTTTGGTTGGTGCTTTAAGCACAACTCAGACACAACTCTCTCCATGCCTTCATTATCTTTGTGAAACATCTAGTGTCAAGTGAAATAATTTCTTACTCCACTTTAAAGACCACAGTTGATGTTTGTGTTTGTAGTTGGACAGGTGAACTACCCAAAGGTTGCAGACAATTCCTCCTTTGATGAGGACAGCAGTGATGCCCTCTCACCAGAACAGCCAGCCAGCCATGAGTCCCAGGGGTCTGTCCCATCGCCGATGGACTCCCGGATTTGTGAGCCTCTCCCTAGCACCACTGGCACATCACTAGCTCAGGTGAGAATGCGGTGGCCTACTACAGTGCCCTGGAGCGTCACAGATGCTGCTGATTTGTGGCAGAGGATCCTAAAAAGTGAGACCGAGGGATCCTTAAAAGGTATAGTCTGTGAGATTTCACAAGGGGTCTTAGCTCTGTGTGGTGTTGGTGAAGTCCTCTGGTTATTCAGAAGACCCTGTAGTGGTGCCGTGTGGGGAAGCGGAGCAATCATTACTTGATATAGCCTGTGTTGGTGGGCGACTGATTCTGGCAGGCAAAGCTAGGAGATACAGGTGTGGGATTTTGATTCCTTTGATGCCCTAAGAAGTTGTGCTGCTTCTCAGGGACAACTGAAGCAGTGGGTTAAAGGAGTCTAATTAATGACTTGAAATCTGTGCTGCTTCCCTGTAAGCGGACACTTCCTGCACTCTCTTAAACTGTTTCCCTCCTCATATGTGTATTCATTATGCCTTTTTCTGTCCCTGCAGGGTACATCCCAATTGCAGATTAGCGCAGACTCCAGTGAAACACTTTTCCTACCTGAACAGCCACCCCCGCCTCTGCCACCTCCACCTCTTCTGCCTCCTAGTCTTACCAATGGAGTGGCTCTTACTGCTGCCAAGCCCCCACCAACACTCATTAAGGTACTATTTTGGCTGATTTCTTCATTGTTGTAGTCTGAAGGAAGATAAGATGGTTACTCTGAAGAAGATTTTGAGTTGGAAGTACTGTGTTAACAGACGCAAAGGAAGGAAAGCTTATTTCTCACTAGCATCTTCCTCTGACACTAATTGTAACATATTTAATAGGTTTTTCTGTTCCATTATTCACCTTCTGTAAAATGGGTCCTGAATGCAAAATGTTTTGAAACAATCAGCATTATCCACAATTAGAGTCAGTGAGTCTGCACTGGATGAGCAAGTGATCTGGTGTGCTGGGAAAGATGACCTGCGTTATGGTGCAGTGTAAGCTGCTGTGGGTGCTGTAATTATTAGAGAAGCATGGAAAGACCCTGAGGTCAAATCTGGAGAATTTTGAAATGAAAATCCCAGTGTGCATTCTGGTTTACATGGGGTGTTATGTTATTTCAGTGTTTCCATTCTTATTTGCTTCCTCCTTTTCTTCTAAATAGCAAAGCCAGCCCAAGTCTGCTAGTGAGAAGTCTCAGCGCAGTAAAAAAGCCAAGGAGTTGAAGCCGAAAGTCAAGAAGCTTAAATATCATCAGTATATTCCCCCGGACCAAAAGCAGGACAAGGGAGCTCCTCCCATGGATTCATCCTATGCCAAAATACTGCAGCAGCAGCAGCTCTTTCTCCAGCTTCAGATCCTCAACCAGCAGCAGCAGCAGCACTACAACTATCAGACCATCCTGCCAGCTCCACCAAAGTATGGGTCCTAAATGGCAGCTCTCTCTTAGGAAGCACTTGTTTCCCCAGTACTGTTATCGGAGACATTGTGTTCTGGGTGTGATGTGTGGCAGTTGGGTGTAATGCACTCAATCTCGTTAAGTAACAGCGGGCCGCAAAAAGGGCCGGTGTCAGATGAATCAGACAAAAGCAGCTGAAGTGAGTTGGTTGGTCGGGTAAGGGGCATGGATATAGTCAAAGGCACTGGTGTGCTTTAATGTCTAGGGTGGCACTAGTGACCCAGATGTTTCTGAACATATATGATTGTTGACACTGAGGGCCTCTGGTGCCTTTCCACCTTGGTTTTGATGCCTGTGTTTTTTCTTTCCCTGCAGGCCTCCAGGAGAGCAGCAGAGTGGTGCCAGTGCCCCTGCTGTACGCAATCTCTCTGCCACAGTCAGCAGCGCATCTTCAGTATCCTCTGGTTCCAGTGGGCTGATGCGACAAAACAGTAATGCTGCAGTGGGCAAGCCTGGCCCTCTCCCTGCCAACCTAGATGAGATGAAGGTAAATGTGCTGTGAAGCTGCACAGCCCTTTTTTTGCCATTGTCAGTGGAGAGGGCAGTACTGAACAATGTTGCTACCCCAGAGCAGGGCTGAGGTGGACTGACAGGAGTTAGTCAGCTGGTATTGCTACCCTGCAGTCTGTACCTGAGGTGCAGGTTTGTTGGCCTGCAGGAGGGTCAGTTTAGTCCTTTGCCCCATGGCTCTGGTAGCTGTTAATAGTTGTTCTGGTTAGAGTGTATGTATGTTCTCTTAACGTTGCCTTCTTTTTTTCACCATATCAGGTAGCAGAGCTGAAGCAAGAGCTGAAGTTGAGGGCCTTGCCTGTCTCGGGCACAAAGACAGACCTGATTGAGCGCCTCAGAGCTTACCAAGAGCAGAACGGTGCAGCCGGCCAAACAACCCCCACTCCCAAGCCCAGCACAGCAGCCATCCTCCCAAAAGCTGCCGAAGTGGTGGTAGCCTTCCCAGCTGCCAGGCTGAGCACAGGGCCAGCCCTGGTCACTACTGGCATTGCACCAGCAGAAGTAGTTGTGGCCACAGTCACTGGTGGCGGCATGATGAAGTTTGGCAGCACAGGCTCGACTCCTCCTGTTTCTCCAACTCCTTCTGAGCGCTCGCAAATGAGCACAGGGGACGAGAACTCGGCCACTGGAGACACCTTTGGAGAGATGGTGACTTCACCCCTGACCCAGCTCACCTTGCAGGCATCTCCAGTGCAGTTCCTGGTGAAGGAAGAAAGCTCCAAGTCTGCCTCCTGCAGCGTAAACGCGGCAGCCAGGTCGGAGCGGTGCAGCACTGGTAACAGCAGAGATGCAGAAGTTAGGGACAAAGACCAGATGCTGCAGGAGAAGGACAAGCAGATCGAGGAACTCACCCGCATGCTGAAGCAGAAGCAGCAGCTGGTTGAGATGCTTAGACTACAGCTAGAGCAGGAGAAGCGCTCTCAGCAGTCACTACCGGCCCCAGCGGCTGCGGGAGAAGGGACAGCCCTTGCCTCCAACCCAGTAGCATTTGGCACACAGGTCAAGAGTGAAAATGGTTTCCTGAGTTGCCAGTCTGCAAAGCAGTCCAGTGGCCAAACAGACCAATTCAGCCCTGCACCAACCGCTAGCCAAATGGACACTTCGAATCCAAGTCCAGTGCCAAAGAAAGCCGTGATGGTGAAGCAGGAGGTGCCAGCCGCGGAAGCAGAGCCACCGTGCCAGTCCCACAGCCCGCGGCTTTTCCTTGGCCAGCAAGGGAGCGCCCTGAGCGACCTCATCAAGGGCACCCCTCCCCCTACCCTCATCACCGACTCCACAGGGACCCACATCGTCCTCACCGTGACCAAGCAGAGCGTCGAGAGGCAGGGCCTCTCGCCCCACGGGAAGGCAGGGAGTAGCTGCCCGGCCTTGCAGGTAGGCAAGGGTTAGAACACATCCTGGCTGCAGGCAGTTGGGTTCCTCTCTCCCTCTTCCCGCTCCTATGGTTCAGGTTACCATAGGATGATGTGGAAATTCAATGCAGTAAATACTAAAATGGCTGAGTTGCTTGCTACGATGGCTGGTAGTTCATGGCTTTGTAAAACAGAGCAGTGTAAGCAGATCTTCAGCAAAAAGACTGGAATTTGACAATGATGAACTGTGTACAGCAATGCACGATTAACTATGTGCATCATAGGCTGTTCAGCATTCTTCCAAACACATGGTTCTGCCTTTTGTCAGGCAGGATCTCGGGCTTGGAGGACAAGGGTTTGCTGCCACATTTCACTTCTTTTTGAAAGAACAACCATGCCTGTGACATTAAAAAAAGCAGGGTGTATTTCACCTCTTGTCCTTTATTAGAGAGATTGTAGTTGGACTGATAGATAGGTCACCTTGCCTACCAAGAGCTGAAATCAGACCCTGGGAGCAGACTTCTTGCTTTTTGACTGCTCTTTGTTTTAATGCGTGTCAGTATTTCAGCGTTAACAGAGTCTTTCATCAGAGATGATCTACCATTCCCCTGTTGGTATGAGATCAGCACTTAACAGAAGCGTTCCGAGTGTTTCTTCCGGGAAGGTATAAATATGCCCAGGTTTTATGGCATAAGTCAAAGCCCAGCATCTTCTGTGGCGTCAGAGAAGATTTTCATTCTCTGCTGCCACATTTCTTGCACCTTCTGCAGAGCAAGTGTCAGTGTCTACCATCAGGGGCAGGCACTGAGCAGGCTGCATTTGCTGCGTAGCCGGTGAGATGCGAATCAGCTGTCTAAATATCACTGTCCGGCGTCACCCTTGATACCCCAGGGTATCTCACCTAAACTCCAGCCGCTGCTCCAGAAGGGCACAGGTCCTGTGTCAGGTCTGCCAGCCCTTGAAGGATGTCATGGGTAGCCCAGGGATTTAGAGTGGTACTACCTCCTCTTTTAGGACTCTGAATCCCACCCCAATCTGATTTCTCTGCTTGGTGAAACAGAACAATTGACTGAATTTCCTAAAGAATGAAGAGTGGGGAAAAACAAACTTCACAAATCCTTTAAAAAACACAAGCTTTGCTCCATGTTGTGTCAGGAATAGCTTCTCATGGATACCCTTTTCTTTTCAGAGAGTACAATCATCACCCGCTAAAACTTCCAGCCAACCGCAGTGTCAGCTACCTACAAGCACCCCTCAGCAGCCCACGCAGCAGCAGAAGCAGCAGCCCACGCAGCAACAGAAGCAGCAGAAGCAGCAGCAGCAGCAGTCCAGAGGACTAAACCAATCTGTCAGAAAGGTAGCTTGCTGCCTGGTCACTTTTCTTCCTTGTTTTTCTTTGCCTGCTGCTGGGGTTTGTGGCAGCGGTGGGAAGGGGACACACGCATGCACAATCCTGGTCAGAGACCATCATCACAGCAAGTGAGATCTCATAGCAGCTTCTGCCACAGCTTGCAGCTGCACGGAGTGTTTGGTTTTCAGCTTGAATGTGGCAGCAGAAGGGGTGCCTGGCGTAGCCTCTCCATTCCCCTGCCTCCTGCTGAACTAGCTGTGATGGAGAGCCCATCGGGCATGAAGTTTCAGGAGCACTAAGTGTCCATGAGGTCTTCCCCTATGGGCACACTTGGAAGTGATGTGGAGGCTTTAGAGCAAAGAGCTCTGGGCTAAACCCTGACAGTTTACTAGCTTCTGCCCTTTGGTTCTGCATCTGAGCAGAATGCCAGCTGGTGTTTTAAACAAGCATTGCCTATCAATTAAAAACGATGAGAGGCCAGAGTGGGCAGCCTTGGTTCACAGTGGTGTCCCTGATTCTTGAAGGAGTGCTGCTGAACTGAAAAGGTGGCTACTGCATGGAGAGAGGATGGTGTGGGCAGTATGTCTGCAACTGAAGGTGGCGTACAAGCTCTGAGAGGGGCAAAAGGATCTGACCTTTTACTCTCTGGTACTGATGAACATGCTGTGATTTCCGTTCCTGTGCCTTAAGCATACCTGTTAATCATCTCTTTGTGAAGTGCAATGCAGATTCAGGAAAGAAAGCACCTCTGGCTTTACCCCTTCTCCAGGTGATGGCTGTAAAGAGGCTCTGCTGTGCATCTCCTCCCTTTCTAGCCCACATCAGGGATGACTTAGCTTTCTCTCTAACATGTAATTAAGATAAGATACAGAAAGGTTATGAAGAGTTTTTAGAGCTTGGAGGATCACTGCTGAGTCAGATGCTGGAAAGGATATGAAGACAGGAGTAATTTCTAGTGTTTTCAGAGTGGGATATCCACTTTGCAAAGGGTCGGTGCCTTCATTTGCTTTGAGACCTTTGAGAAAATGCAGAAGGTAAATGAAGGCACCTTTTCCCTCAGACTCCTGTAGCTCGTGTGCTGTGGAGGCAGCTGTAGTGACTTTCCTAATCCTTTTGCCTCCCTGTAGGGTCAGAACCCAGGTCTGCAGGTGGTCACGGGGCAGCTGCCTCACACCATATTGTCTTTCTCAGCACCTCCAAACCTGCAGCCCTTCTTCCCCAACGGTTTCCAGAAATGGTCCCTGAAAATTGGTGGTCCTGGCAAAGCCAGCCCACCCAATGTGTACCCTCCCAGCACATCCCAGTGGCCTGTGCCACAATGCCAGCTTCCAGCCCCTCTAAGGAAGAAAGTGGACCCCAGAGCAGCTCTGCTGGCGGGGACCTGGGGTCACTCCTCTACCTGCAGGTCACAGAACAGACGAACAGCTTTCCAGGGAAAACAGGATGGGGAAGAACATCAACACGTACAAGTGTTGGAACTGGCATTCAGCTACTGCCCGGGGATCACTGCTCCAGGGGAGCAAGCTTTAGCGTGAATCACGCATAACTGCTGTAGAGGCAAAGACCTGATCCATGTTTTAGCCTTTCTTATGGGCAGTTGTGTGCTGATTCATCTGGTAAAGCTGAGTCATGAGCACCACTTCCTGCAACACTTGGGGTTTCCTTTGGAGGTCTCTGGTGCTGCTGAGTGCTCTGGTGCTCTCCGCCCACCATCAGGCTGTGAAACTTGCTGCTAGTGAAGCTTGATTGTGTCCCCAAAGCAGGCACTCCAGAGGGAGATGGGTAAAAGATAGGTCCTGGATATATTGCACAGGGTAGGCTGAACACAGCAAAGGAAGCGCCCTCGCTCTCTCTCCAAAGTGTTAGAGGAAGCCCCCACTTGGACAGATGAGGCTCTCCCCATCCAGGAGCAGCCTGGTGGCGGTTTGTGGCGTGGTTGCTTTAGCGTTAGAAAAATCAGCAAAAGATTTCCAGCTGTGAGTTGGAGGGGAAATCTGTCTTCCTCCCCTGCAGCCAGGGCATAGTGCACAGAGTACACGGAAGAAGCCAGGCTGCTGGGAGCAGAGCAGTGCAGACCTCTGTGCAGCACTCGCCAAGAAAAATCAGCAAAAGATTTCCAGCTGTGAGGGGGAGGGGAAATCTGTCTTCCTCCCCTGCAGCCAGGGCATAGTGCACAGAGTACACGGAAGGCCAGGCTGCTGGGAGCAGAGCAGTGCAGACCTCTGTGCAGCACTCGCCAAGAGAGGGGATGATGGTCTCTCAAAGCGGCTGTGAGACAGGAGTTGATGCGGGCTTTCCCCTGATCACTCCTCCTGCCTTTGTTCTAAACAGTCCTCATCACAGCCCGGCTCTCCTGCTGCCCCTTCCCCATCCCAGATGGACCTGGAGCAGCAACAGCACACGTCGCTTTTTGGAACTCCTCCACCTCCTCTCCCTGTTCCCTCAGTCCCAATGAAAGAGCCACCAGGCTATGAAGAGGCCATGAAGCAACAGCCAAAGGCCCAGGTGAGAGCAATTCTTCTCCCTGGTTTCCTTGGAGAGCAGGTGAAAAGTTGCCACTGTAAATCTGCTTAGATTCCTGATCTGGGCCAGTAACAGAGAATGGAGACACAATGTCCCTTTATAACTGCGCCTTTCTAGCTGAATTCCTTCTGGAGGGTTTGGGGCAGACCCTAAACCACGGGTAGAAATCCCAAGCCACTCACCGCTTGGTGAGTGTTAGTACAGCAGTTGCTGACTGTACCTTCCCATCCAGTAACAGCCTGGGGTTACGGAGGATGCCGGTGCCATGCCTCTGTGTGCTCATTCTTGCTAGATAACAGCCCATCCCTGGGGCGAGGGAGGAGAGCCAGCAGCCAAGGGTGGTGTTGGAGGTGGAAGCTCCCCTGGTGAGTAGGAAGCTAATCCTGCGCTTGCTCTCCCCAGGAGAACGGCTGTTCCAGCCAGCAGATGGATGACCTGTTTGACATTCTCATCGAAAGTGGTGGTAAGGAGACAAAGCCAGCGTTTCCCATAGTCTTTAGGTTTGAGCCTGGGGATAGTAAGAGCACGGAGGGGAGAGTCTGTCATGGCCCAGGTCTTTGCTCCTGCTCCCTGCCAGCGCCTTTAGCGTAGGCAGTAGTCATTAAGGCACTAAGGGAGATGTCAGTCAGGCATTAGTATGATACAAAGCTTCTTGGTGGCTCTGCTGCATCAGATCTGGGCACACCTCTTCTGCGATACTGGACAGAGCTTGAATTCCCCGGAGGTGGGCTGAAAACTCCCCATAGCAAGCCAAGTGCGGGCACAGGATGAGCTTCCTTATCCCAGTTGGTGGTCAGTGATGGCTCAGTCTGGGGGGTCCCTGTTGCCCTGGTGGGTGGGAGGGATCCTTCTGGTGTTGAGCCAAGCTTTTCCTCACCCTGGTCTTCCCATTTGTTTCCTGTACAGAGATTTCTGCTGACTTCAAGGATCAGTCGTCCCCAGCTGGGAAAGAACCACCCGTGGCCCCAGCCTGCTCCTCACCGCCCAGCAGCCACCATTCCTCAGAGCTGGCGGTGCCAGTGTCCTTGGGGCAGCCGGTGCCCGTGGGCCGGCTGGAGGACTTCCTGGAGAGCAGCACCGGCCTCCCGCTGCTGACGGCAGGCCACGATGGGCCGGAGCCCCTGTCCCTGATTGATGACCTCCACAGTGAGATGCTGAGCAGCTCGGCCATCCTGGACCACCCGCCTTCACCTATGGACACCTCGGAATTGCACTTTGCTCACGAGCCATCCGGGGGCATAGCCCTGGATCTGGCTGAGGCTAACTTGGACAGCATGGACTGGCTGGAGCTGCCGGGGGGGTCTGTCATGAGCCTGGCTCCCCTTAGCACTGCGGCTCCCAGCCTCTTTTCCACAGACTTCCTTGATGGACACGATCTGCAGCTGCACTGGGATTCTTGCTTGTAACTCTGTGAGCAGAGACTGAAGGGAATGGGAGTGGGAGGGCACAGGCATGCAGGGGGAAGAAGCCAGTCAACCAAAAAAAAAAAAAAAAAAAAAGAAACAAGCTCCTAGTATTTGTAGTCCTCCCCCAACAGTGTCCTTCCTGCACAAAGCCGGCAGTGGTGGCAAAGGCAGACCCACTGCTCGAGTCGCTGCTGCCTGGGCAGCGGGCCAGGCCGGGGCAGGGAGAATGGCTGCTGGGGGGAAGAAGAGGCTTGCAGGAGCTCTGGGGCTGGTGGCCTCCTGCCCCCTCAGCGCAGCCTGACCCAGCTCGGGTGAGAACAGAGCCGGCAGCCCCTCTTCCTCCAGGCAGGAGCGAGCAGCGATGGCAGTGCATGGGGCACAGTGCTGCCAGGCACAAGTTCCCTCACGCCTTGCAGCAGGACATAGCATGACTGGGCCCGAGGCTGTTTCCAGAAGCAGCACCCCGTGCCTTGCTGGGGCTGGCAAATAAAGGGAGTTGTGCCACCCTGGCACGGTCGGTTTAACGGTTGCAGAAGGGGATTCTACCTCTGGAGCAGGATGCAAAGGCGGGAGTGCTGGCTGGGAGCCCGGAAGGGCTGCCCTCTGCACCACCTGCCGTCTGTCAGGGGAGGGTCTGGTCTGCTGCAGGGCTGTGAGGAGCTGGGCAGAACAGGCACCTTTTCCAAGTGTAGCCAAAGGGAACGAGGGTTCCCCACCAACCTGGTAATGTCCAAGCTGGTTTCCCAAATATTGCTGAGCTTGGCAGAGGCCTGCCTGCTTGCTTCACTTGCTTTGGGCTGCAAAACAGATTTTTTAAGGTGCTAAAATCCAGGTCCTTACATGTTAAATCTGTTCTTCGCTGCCCCAGACCTCTGGCTGTGCCTGGAGTCTAGCCTTCAGGCACACCCCGCCTTCCACAGCACTTGTGACATCCCCAGGTGAGCAAGGCAGTCAGCCTGTGGGGGGAGTTAGGGACAAGAAAGCGGCCATGTATCCTGGGGAGTGTGTGAGGGGCACAGCTAGCAATGAGCAACATATCATTAGGGGCCATGTGCAATCTGTTTCCTGCCTTCAGCTGTGCTGTTGCCTCCCTGTAGCCAGGTGCCCCAGTGGAAAGAAGCAGCTGAGGATGTTGGACCCAACAGGCAAGGAAGGGGAAGTGGCACTGCAAACCAGGTGTTGCATGGCACAACACAGGCCCTAGCTCAGTAGTGCAACTGTGAGGGCCCCTTTCTGGGGAGAAGTGGGAGCCTGAAAGCAAGCAATGGGCAGCTGACCTCTGCTCTTCCTTCCCTCCAGGCCCACGGGGTAAAAGGCAAAAGCAAATGGGTGCTTGCTGTTAGCTGCCGCCCTGTGTCCAGCCAGCTTCTGCCAGGTAGGGGCCCGGGCTGGTGCCTCGGGGTAGCTGCTGACTGATGAGTGGGCAGATGAGTACCCCAAGCCCCCTGAGCCATGATGATGCTATTCCTCGTGCAGGCTTTTGCATTGGAAACCCAGGCCTGTGGCGCGCTCGTGCTGTTACTCCTGTCACTTTTAAGTTTCTGTGTTTGTTAGTAGTAACTCATGGCTGTATTTACCAGGTGAGACATAGCCTAGCTGTGCCCCATGCGGTGGCCTTGCCACACAGCTGTCCCTGCTTTGGCCCTGAGCTGGGTCTGGTCTGCTAGGGCTGAGGGAGGCGTGGGAGGCAGTGGCTTTTGAAATCGTACGGACTAAGGTGCTGACCCTGCTCAGGCAGTGGAAGGATAAACTGTCATCCTTTCAGTATCTCCTTGAGGATGCTCTCCCCACCTTTCCCCCCGCGCGGGGCTGCAGGGCTGCCTGCTGGGGAGGGGTAGGTGCGGATGGGCACATGCTGCTCCCCTGCCCCTTTGGTACCTGACGCTCTTCTCTCTCAGGGGGGAGGCCTTGCTGCAGGGGTGCAGGTACCTCTGCTCCATGGCGGGGCAGGTGAATGCCAGCCCTGCATGACATGCTCTCTATCAGCCACTAAACTGGCAGCCAGGCGGAGTCATGCCTGTTTTACAGCTGGGAGAAACTCCTGCTTTCCTGAGCCCTATTTGCTTGTTAACTGCATGGGGAGCCACTCTTAATCATTTGCAGGGGGAGCCTGCTGGCAGCTTCCTTCCTTTCTGCCCTCTTCTCTCCCCTCTTCCCCCCCCCCCATTGTAAGCACGTGAGAGCCTCTTATCTGCCTCCCTCAGTGTCCGGGTTGGAGTGAGAGGATACCCCCTTCCCCCCCCCGCCCTGCCTGCTTTCTGTTGCCCAAGCTACAGTGTCATGTCCTAAAAATCAGAGTAACTGGGACTGGTGGACACCCCCTACAGTGTCATGTCCTAAAAATCAGAGTAACACCCCCCGTAACGCTGCTGAGCCCTCCCTCGTTTCTCTCCTGGTGCATCCCTGGTGCTTGCTGGGAGCAGTGAGTGCATTAGCAATCGCCTTACAGAGCTCCCACCAGCTCCACCCAGGGCAGCTGCCCAGCTGTGGGACCAGGTGGGCACAGGAGGCAAGTGGTTTCTTAGGAGGAGAGTATGCGGGGGGTGGGATGACCTTTCAAATGCTAAGGGGAAAACGTGAGGCTGCCTATTTGATAAACTTACTTAAGCAAAATCAGCTTCTTTTAGCCCACAATGAGCAGTAGCCCCCACAAAAACCAGCTGTGTGATTTCTTTTGTACAAATAATTACAAAGCTGCAACCAGTAAATAAAGAATGAAATTATCAAAGTGCAGTGAGCTCCTAGAAGAAGGTGGGAGCACTCCACGTGCAGTCCTGGCCTGACCCAGCCATGGTTCCTCACGCTGGGCCAGGCACTTTGTTGGCAGAGAGATGCCAATGCCCATTACTGATTTAGGCCTTCCCCAGGGTTGCTGGTAAAAGGCCGAGCTCACAGCTGCCCCCTTTCACCTTTACCCGTCCACCATCATTTGTGATACTTTGTAGGAATTTAATTACCCAACTTTGCCCAACATACTTGAAATTGGCTGTTGGGCTTAAGAGCCCCCAGACGATACAGAACCATGAACCTTACCTCCTGAGGAACCCAGCTAACGTGCCAGAGCCCCTCTGCACAAGGGGCTTCTGCCAGGAGAGCGAGCGATAACCCTGTGCCTGGGGGCAGAGGGGAAGATGGTGCCTCATCCCAGGAAATACTAGAACATCTTTTCCCCAAGCAGTGCCCAGAGCAGGCTAGCCCAGTTCTCTGCTTTCTCACTATTATTTGTTTGAATAATAGTTCAATAGTTCTTTGTCAGAAGAGGTATTCCCCTGGACATACATTTTTGCACCCTTGGGAAAAACAAAGTCTGATGTTCTGCCTCTACCTTGAATGTAATACTGAATCTTTCTGCTGTAACCACTACTTGTTTGTAATGTGTATTTGACTAGCACGCACTCTCCCTTCCACTATGCAGCAAACGGCGAGGGGTGATCAGCACCATCTGAGACGGATGGTGTTGGGGCATCGGATCCAGAGCAAGTATTCAACTGGAAAAGGATAAAAAAGTGACAAGTTAACAGGGGAGAGAATGGATCTTTAAATTGAATTATTTTTTCAGTTACAAATATTTGAAAAAATCCATTTTATTAAAAAAATTCCAAACAGCCACGTGCTCAAAAACGTCTCTGCTATGCTGGTGGGAGGGCTTGGGGCCACTCTGCCTTTTCCAGCTAAGGGTGGGTGATCCCTCTGGGTCTTTCTCAAACCTGAAAAAAAAAAGCCTGCGTAGTGGTGCCTCGTGCCTTCTCAGCTGAAGGGAGATTCCCTCTGTGATATGGAAATTACCTACCCTGCAACCAGAAGTAGGTCTTATGGTAGGAGAGGCACGGGCAGCTTTTACAGCCTCCCACAGCCCAGTAGGCTGGTCTGGACCCCAGCTGTTAGGGTGGTGAGGCGATACTGCAGCCTTCCTCAGCCAGATGCCAAACTGGAATTACTTTGACTGAAAACACCAATTTTCACATCAGTAAATACGCCACAACCTTCACCCTCCCGTGAGCGTGGCTTCTGAACACAGTTCTCCCGGAGTCCGTGCCCTGTTACTGTCCCCCTTTGCAGAAGGGACTCCACCTGTTTTTTCTGGAGAAGCTTGTTAATGTGCAGACAACACTGTTGTTCAGCACCACCCAGCCCTGTTTTCTGCCAGCCCCTCTCCCTTTGCTAAGGGCCTTCCCCTTGCAGGGTCCCTACATCCCTTCATTTCAAGTATTTCTTGCTTGTCAGGGCCTGCTGGGGCTCTGCTGCGGAGCTGTGCCTCAGGGAGGGCTGGCGGCAGAGAGGCAAGGCAGGGCTGCCACTGCTGGCAGCACAACTGCTCCTGCCCCAGCCGCAACCTGGGCCTGTGGGCTGGTCTGAGGCAAGGTCAGTGTGAGGAGCCCCCACCGTGCCGGCGCAGGTTGAGCAGAGACCTCAGCTTGACGCTAGCAGGAGCCAGCGCAGAAATGGGGTCATAATTATCAATTGGCAGAAATTAAGAATTAAATATAGTCCTGGCCCTGTCAAAAAACAAAGCCAAAGCCCAGCACTCTCCCAAGATGCAGTTTATTTACAAACCCACCGAATAAAGGAAAGTAAGAATCTAGTGTCATTTCATGAGTAGTTTGTGCTCACAGACAAGCGCTTTCAGTAGAAAGTCACAGACTCCGTATCTGGAGCCACCACCACAAAGCAGCAATTCTCCACTCCTGACCTGCGTCCCCGCTGCCACCGCAGGGCGAGGAGGACCAGTTAGTCTCCCTGAGCCAGCTCCAACCTGAACCTCATCCTGAGCTACAACGGTGCCAAAATATACACGTTCCTGGAGTTAATTTACAGCTTTTTGGTTAACAGTAAAAATCATCTACAGACTAAAATGACAGCATGAAACACTCTTATTTAGGAGAGAGGTGTGTTTTGTCTGCTCCCAGAGGAGACAAGGCCCATCCCCTAAGGCTGTTACAGTGGTGACAGGCCGATGCAGTCAGGCACCTCTTGTCAACACCCCACACACCAGTGCCAGGGAGGTGGGATGAGGCTGATGCCGGTTCCCCCTTTTCAGCCCCAGCTCCAGGTCAGAGGAACTTGTCCAAGTGCTTCAGGGTTTGCCATCCCTCTCCCCGACGGAGGCAAGCCCTTGGCTGGTGGGGGGGATGTGCTATCCCTGTTCCCATACAGCGATGAGTCTCTCACCAGCCCAATTCCACTTGCAGGTGCCACCTGCCAACGGCACCAGCTCTCACAGATCAAAGCCACCCCCCCCACAAGGACTGCCTCTTCCCCCCAGCTACAGCAGCAGCCATGCTCACACACTCATGCAGCTGCTGGCCCACTGGGCAGTGCACAAGGGGCTCTGGGCCAGGCTGCTCCCCCAGGCACTGGGGGGGAGGCAGGGCTGAGGCAAGCAGAAGATGGGGTGGCAGAGATGGGTAAGGCTGGGAGGGGGCACTTGTTTTTGTGGCCAGAACACACTTGTCCCTTTGCAGCATCACCCTCGACCATCACCTCCCTCGGGTCTGCAGCTCGGCCTCTCAGCGCTGCTGCCATCTGTCCCAGGTGGCCTGGCAGCCCCCCCGAGGGGGATTTTGTCACAGATACAAGTGGGGGGGGTGGGGGAGGGCAGGGGGTG